AGTCTAAGCCAAAAACCTCAGTGCCCTCTGTTTCCATAGTCAGGCATATTTCTCTCGTTGCCTGCCCCATCAAACTACTTAGGTAGGGGGATTTGGAAACCTTTTGGGATTCTAGATGGCTGGTACCATTAGCTTTGTCCTTTCTACAGGTATGCTGTCACACCAATTGAAGCAGCATGTCATTGATGGAGAGAAAACCATTATCCAGAATCCCACAGACCAGCAGAAGTAGGTGCCAATCCCACCCTTCACCTTCCACCATACCAGACTAGTCATGAATTTTTTCTTCTATGCTCCCAGCCTAGTTTTGTCTGTCTTCTACTTCAAACTCCAAAAACTACTTATTGGTCTTTATGGTTCCCTTTTTATTCCTTTTAGGAAGGACCACGAAAAAGCTGAATTTGAGGTACATGAAGTATATGCTGTGGATGTTCTCGTCAGCTCAGGAGAGGGAAAGGTGAGGAGTGTTTACCAGAGCTAGCAAAGAGGGATGACTGAGGGTTTGTTCCAGGAGCACCAGAACAAATGTGACCTAACTTACTCTTTTAGGCCAAGGATGCAGGACAGAGAACCACCATTTATAAACGAGATCCTTCTAAACAATATGGCCTGAAAATGAAAACTTCACGTGCCTTCTTCAGTGAGGTTGAAAGGCGTTTTGATGCCATGCCGTTTACTTTAAGGTATACTGCACTTCATAAGGACAGGACTTAGAACTAGTGTGACTCATAGACCACACACCCAGGAATACTATTCCCTCTTCCCTCCTGTCTAGACTTGTAGCTCCAGCCTGCATGCAAGTGTTCTCTTATGCTCCCCATCTCCGTCGTTGAAGGGAATGTAAAAGAGCAATCCTAAGCATGATTTTTGCCCAAGGATAGGAGTGATTTAAAAACATGAGCAAAATTGGTAAGACTTGATAGCTAGTTAAGGATACCTGGATTTGTCTTCCCCTACCCAGAGCATTCGAAGATGAGAAGAAGGCCCGGATGGGTGTGGTGGAGTGCGCCAAACATGAACTGCTGCAACCATTTAATGTTCTCTATGAGAAGGAGGGTAAGTTCTAAAAGGAGTTTCACTTTGGAACTGGTTATATGGTTCCCTCCTTCCTCCTTATAGCTTATAGAAAAAGAATGACAAGGGAGCATTTTATCAAAACACGTCTCTCTTCCATAGGCGAATTTGTTGCCCAGTTTAAATTTACAGTTCTGCTCATGCCTAATGGTCCCATGCGGATAACCAGTGGTCCCTTTGAGCCTGACCTTTACAAGTCTGAGATGGAGGTCCAGGATGCAGAGCTAAAGGTTAGTGTGGGCTGGAAAGTGGTGAGCACGTGGAACCAGTCATGGTAGTGGGGACTAAATGTAAGCAAAGTCCTGAAAAAATTACAATATTGAGAGTTAGACTGTTTCCTCAAAATTTGTTTTCCTTCTTCCTATTCTCCAGGCCCTCCTCCAGAGTTCTGCAAGTCGGAAAACCCAGAAAAAGAAAAAAAAGAAGGTGTGTTATTATTCCTCTTTGGCAGGTTGTACCTGATCCCTCTTTATTCCACTTTCCTGGGTCATAGTGGGGCATAGATTTTTGTATATACTTATTTCCCCCCTTCTCAGCCCTGACCTAGAGAATTAGGGTATTTTTGTCCTTGGTCCCCCAAACACCCCAAGGAAACTGACAAGTCTTCTCCCTCTTTCCATGAATATAGGCCTCCAAGACTGCAGAAAATGCCACCAGTGGGGAAACATTGGAAGAGAATGAAGCTGGGGACTGAGGTGGGTCCCATCTCCCCAGCTGCTCCTGCCTCATCCCCTTCCCACCACACCCCAGGCTCTGTGAAGTGCAGTTCGTCTTCTCCACCCAGGACCGCCAGCAGAGCAGGGGCTCTCCCTGCCCCCATCCCAGTCCCCAACCCAACCCCCTTCCAACAAGAACCAGCTCCAACTGACTCTGGTTTTGGGAGGCCAGGCTTCCCAGCTACCGAAGACTACTTTAACTAGAAAAGAGAAATTGAACAATAAAATCAGGAGTCAAAATCCATCGTCTTCAAGCCCCTCTTTCTAGCCTTTTTCTACCACTCTTTGCTTGGTCAAGGTTTATGACCCTACAACAGAACAGGGAGGAGGCTAAAGGAGCCACCACCACTAAAAATTCAGCTGAAATTTTTTTATACACTGAATGTCAGCATTTTCCCATCTGTTGGGGCTTGTTCCTCTCTTTTCCCATTCTTCCCAAGTATTTTATCTGGCCTCAAAGTAGAGAGGAGCTATTTTTCAGATTGTTTTTATTCACATGTGGAGATTCCTTTTCTGATCCAGGCTGTCTGGTCAGGCCCCTCCTTTTTTTAGGAGTTGGAGCCTGCACTTACCAAGGGATTCTCATCTATGAAACGGATCCTCATTTGTAAATCTTTGTAGTCATTTTTGTTCTGCAGGACACTTCTCCCCACCCCCAACAAAGCTGTAAAGGGAGGAATTCATTTCAACCAGTCCATTTCTTTGGAGTCAGTGGGGTCTTCCCTTACTCCATCTTACAAACCTGAGCTGGAAGCTCAACTGTGGTTTTGTTCCGTTTGAAATATTTTGACCTCCCTCCCTTGAAAGAAAGACCAGGAACCAGAGGAGCAGACTGATTGAAGAGACAACTCCTGGCTTTCTAAAGCTGTGGACTTGAATTGGATGAATTGCTAGGGGTTTGGAGAGAAAGGTGACGAATTTCATTCAGTACCTCTAGCATGTGTCCCAGGGAACTAGGGCTCCCGCTAACTTATGAGGTTTTTAAACATTGAAAATGACATGGCGTTAAAATAAATTTGGATTTGCTCATAATTATGTGCCTTTGCTGCTCTTATTTGATGGAGGTGGGAGAATGTTGAAGTGGTGATTATTTGAAGCTGTTTCTCTATATTGCCATATTCTGCCTTTCTAAAAAAGGACTACTTCCCCAACCAAAAGATATAAATCCTGGGTTTTCTGAATTAAGGTAGTAAATTTTCTATGGGAGCTTGATTTAATTTTCTAAAGTGAAAACATAATCTTGCTGCTGACACTTTGTTCAGGACTAGCATGTTTAATGTGTAGTGCAAAAAATAAAACACTATACAAGTGTTTATCTTGATTTAGAAAGCCAGGAAAAATACCTTTAGTGTTACAAAATTTTTCAGGGTCAGCCTAAAATGAATAATTTATTAGATTTGAGTATTTTACATGTGAGGCACGCTAACCTGGAGTTACTACAGTGAACAAAACGGAGCTCTTCATTAAGAGCTTATACACTGGACAATCAACAGGTGAAATTCTGGTGGATTTGATAATGAAATAATTCTGTTTTTTTTGTTTTTTTTTAAAAAAAATATGATGAAAATACTGGAACTACTTAAGCACTTAGAACAAGGGCTCCAAGTTTTAAAAACCTTCTTTTAATAGAGTTAAAAGGGTGATATGTTACAAAGGGAAACCACCAGAACAGGGATTATAATAAACCTTGCAATCTCTGACTGGCGTGCCTCAGTGGTTAGAGCATTGGCCTGTACACGGGTCTCTGGTTTGATTCCCAGTCAAGGGCATGAACCAGAGTTGCAGGTTCGATCCCCAGCCAGGTTGGTGCAAGCAGGAGACAACCAATCGATGTGTCTGACATCAATGCTTCTTTTCCCCTCCCCCTCTTGCTCTATCACTCTCTAGCTCTCTCCCTCCCCCAAAACTCCCTCCCTCCTTTCCACTCTAATATTAATGGAAAAAATATCCTTGGGTAAGGATTAACAAAATAAATATTTAAAAACCTTGCAGTATTGCCCAGCCAGGCATGGCTCAGTGGTTGAGCATAGACCCAGGATCCAGGAGATTGCGGTTTGATTCCCAGGCTGAGGAGTGCAAGAGGCAGCGGATCAATGAGACTCATCATTGATGTTTCTCTCCCTCTCCCTTCCACCTTGAAATCAATAAAGACATATTTATTAAAACAACAACAAACTTGCAGTATCAAAGTGAATAAGGTGAAGTCTGGTTAAGGATTTTTTTAAAAATATGTTTTTATTAATTTTAGACAGATTTTAGGGAGAGGGAGAAACATCCATCAGTTGCCTCCCCCTACTGGGAATCCTGTGCCCTGACCGGGGATGAACCAGCAACCTCAGGGCAATAGTGCATGGGACGATGCTCACCCAACACCACACCGGCCAGGGCAGAATTCGTCATCCTTTGTAACTGTCCAAATCTTTACCTGTTTACTGGGTGCTTCTGACCTGTCTATACCTTGAGACTGGTAAGTTCTTTTTCGTAATATCAAATACCATTCTTGCCCTAGAGGAGACAGCCCTCTTCCCCTCTCCATCGGTAGAGAAAATCACTGAAGTGTTTTCTGAACAAGACGCATTGTGACAAGGCATCTGTGACATTCTGCCTCAGGCATTGTTGGGGAAAGACCGTTGGTTGGTTAGGAAAAAGTTTATCTAAAGTAGTGAGTTTTTTGGTAATATGACAGCTTTCTTGAAAACCCAACTTTACATTCTTCCATGTTCTGGAACCTTAGGGCCTTAGGAGGAGGTTCTGAGATAGAGTCTCCCTGCAGCAATTTAGTTTAAAAAATAAGGCAAACCAGTAAACAAATTACGAATTTTTATACGGTAGCACCCTATTCATAATAAAATGGAGGGTGTCGCCGAAAAACGGCAACTCCCACGAAGCAACGAGAGCGAAGGAGGAAGTCGCTATCTTTTGCTCGCCAGCACCTTCCAGGTCTTGTATCGGAAATAGGTGCTCACGTTTAAACAACACAATATCCTCACAACAATAGGGTACGGGGGATTTTGTAACTCAAATTCAAAATACTCTGCTTTCCAAGAGAACTAAATCACTTACGAGGTATCTGAGAGGAGCCGGAAACCATTGTTACTCCACTGCAGGTGGGCGCAGCAGCGGAAGTGACGACAGTGAACGCGGCCTTAAATAGCTGTAGGCGGGCTGTTAGCGCTCTCTCGGCCCTAGCGCCATCTTCTCTAGGTGGGTGTATTTACGGCGTGTGTGTCGATTCCACTTACAATCCATTGACATCTGGTCTCTGTTCTTACCGTCATCACAGCGAACTAACTGTAGCTTTTTTCTCTTTACTCGTAGAAACCTCTGCGCCATGAGAGCCAAGGTAAGCACTCCCTGGTAGTGAGCTAAGGCTGTGGGAATTGAGGATTGGGGGGTGGAGATACGGGTAAGGGAAGTCCGCCATGGTTCCCGAACCGCTGGGTTTTTCAGGGTGTCCAAGAGCTAGTGGGAGAGGAAGGATAGTTTGGAGAGAAGCAGAGAAGGCGTTTGGGTAACTGCTGTGCGGAGAGAAGAGCGCATGCAGAATTCGGGGTTTACTTCGGGTGTGGGGGTTAGGCGGCCAGATTATTGATGTGGTTACTGCGACTAAGCCCTTATTTGGTCGACAGCCTCCCTGGTTCTAAATAACGCTCTCCACATCCCTATGTAAACCTGACACTAAAACTAATGACCTTTTTTATTCCTTGCCTCTGGTTATGATCCGTTGCCAGTGGAGGAAGAAGCGAATGCGCAGGTATGTTGAGACTTTGCCGGCAACGGGGGAGGGAAGTGGAGTGGTGCATGCCTTGAACAAAAGTTGGGAGGAACGTTTAGTTTAGAAATCTAAAAGAATTTTAGGTGAAAAGTGTTTTGAGCATTGACTTGTCAGAGCCAGGAATTGAACACAAGACAATAGAATGTAGTGCTTGATCGTTCCACCACCCTGTGTGTATTGTGTACACATTTAGATGGGGAGGAAAGACTTGAACGTGGGCTTGAGAGCAGGGGGTGTGTTTTGTGTCTGCTTTTCAGGCTGAAGCGCAAAAGAAGAAAGATGAGGCAGAGGTCCAAGTAAACCGCTAGCTTGTGCACCCTTGGAAGCCACAAGAGCAGAAAGAAGGGAAGCCAGAGGCCAGGGACGCTGGTACAAATTGTTGGACTGCATGCCTGCTGTCTAGAACTTACCGATGGATCTGGAACATACATGCCATCTGATCGCCGCGACCGCCTTTTGAGAGAACCCACCCTACTCTTAAAAAAAAACAACAGTCCCTTTTGGATCTTTGCCTTGGACCTGTGACATTCCGGACTGGTTCTGTTCTCAGTTGTGGCTGAATGTAACGTGTACAATAAAATCATCTCTTCTGTCTAAGCTGAAGAAAAATGTCTGTTTTGTGGTTTTTATGGTTCTGTTGGCTGGGGAGTCTGTCGGTATAGTGGGCCCTGTTACTACCCGATGCTGTAGAGATTGTCAAGCTGCATAGGCTGCCCCCAGGGTTATGGACCCTGCCCCTACCCAACATCTGGTTCCCGGCCCTGGCAGTAGTGGAAACTTGCGGACAGGTATCTAGATTGTTCGCGGGCAAGTTGGGCAAATGGTTCTGGCCCTATTCTTATCTCGAGGCCTGCATTAGGTTTTGGACGGTTTACTGGACTCTGTCGGGTTGCCATGGTGACACGCAGAGCTTGCCGGGAACTTCCTGCGCTAGTCCCTCTAGTACGCTACACACCATAGAGTATAGTTCCGGGTCTGGTGGCTAGAGCGCCGTTACTTCCGCAGGAAGCGGAAGGGCCGTAGGGTAGGCGGCTCTTTGTCGAGGCTACAGGACCGGCAGGCGGCAGCAGCAACTACGGCGGCGGCGGCAGGTGAGGGAGGCGGGAGACTTAGGTGGAGGCCGCGCCCGGAGGGGAGGAGTCGGGCCGGCCCAGCTGCTGGCTCAGCCGGGCTACACAAGGCCCCCCAGGACAGAGCTGGCTCTTCCTTATGCCCCAGGGCCGAGCCCCTTTTCTAACTGACCTCGCTTCGAGAGCGAACGTGCAAACGCCAGCTCCGTGACGTCACAGCCCTGCCCATCCCCTCAGCTTGATGTCACCCGGAGTCCCTCTTCCCCCTTCACTTTGTGCTCCCTTAGTGTCTTATTCACCTGGCCCACGGTTGAGCTCTGTTGCCACTGTGCAGAGCCTGCCAAGCTAGAAGATTTGCTGCGGGAAACTCCTAGGACTTTTTTCGCAAACTCTGGGGTGTTCATAATCACCGCCCCCAAGTCTGGTCTGCCATCCCACTGCACTCTGAGTCGTGGCCCTCGCATTCGGATTTCCTAACCCCAATCCTAGGCCGGACTCTGACCCCCACATCCCCCTCCATCTTGAGGCAGGTCTCCCCTCACCCTTTGTTCACTCAGGGCTGGTGATCCAACCCATCCTTCTAGGCTTTCTAAGTTAGTTCTAACTCTTACTTTTCTTTCTTGCAACTTCTCCCTTTGACAGGTGAAGTTCAGTTGAAACCCTGAGGAAATCTTGAGCTTTTGCTGTTTTGTCAGACTTCTTTCTTGTAACTATCACCCCACAGTTCTCACACCCAAGTATCTGTTTTGTTCCTGTTCAGAACCCAGCAGTGATGTGGAGGTGGAGACCCACAGGAGCCCCGGACTTCACCTGAGCTACCTCAGGTATCGAACAATCCTGGGAGAGTTGGGTGGGGAGGAATACCCTATCTGATTATCTGTATCTGGTGGGACTTGCAATGTGGGTCAGGCTTGGATAGATAGCATTTATTTTTCACCAGGTCATTTCCCTTTTAGTAAAAGTTTGTATCTTTTACGCCTCTTTTCCTTGAGTGTTTCTATTATTCTGGGACTACCTCCCTTTGGAGGAAGAGGACCCTTCTTTTACAGATTCTCTTGTAACTCTGGCCTCTAGTCGGTTCATTTTTCGGAGCTCTGAAGGCAAAGTCAAGGCAAGGGGGGGAACTGGGGGAGATCAAGGTCTGAGAAACTGGAAAGATTCCCTTATACTCAAGGGGAAACAATGTGAAGTTTTCCTATTTGAACAACAGGGGGAGCCTGAACACTGCCTAGGAAAGGTTTACCAGGACAGGTCACGCACGTGGTAGCCAGGACTCCCAGTCTTGTAGGGGGTGGGGTGAGGGGCGGGCTAGAACCAGGGCAGTGGACTGACATTCCAGAGCTCTCTTGGGAAAGATGAGACTTAAAAAGCTTTTATAGAGTCTATAAATAAAGAGGATCTTTATGGGGTGAGGAATGGTGTGGTTTGATGTCCCATGAAGGGTTAGGAGGGGATAGAATGGGCAAAGTAAGGTCACTTGTTCATGTGAAATTAACTCCTTCCTCCTGCTTTGACCGTGGAACAAATGGTTTTGTCCTTTGGGAGTCTATAAGTGGAGATTCCAGCCATAGAACTCTTCACCTTAAATGTAGAGGTAGGGGCTAACTACATTAGGGTTGATGGTGGTATTGAGCTGGGAGGGAATACTAAAAAATGACAGGTTTAGGGACTGTCTTCAAGTTGGTGACACAAGTCTCTCCACTCAGGATTTCCTGGGGTCTAGAGATATGATCCTTCACAGAGCCCTGACCTGAAATCCCATGGAAGAGGGGTTAGGGAAGTTTTGTCACCAGTATGCCATTATCCACAGCCCTAGTAGCTCACCAGCCCATCTTGGCTATGATTCCCAGTCTCCTCCTAGCCTCTTCAGACATTGACAGTTTTCATTTCACTTCCACAACTTTAATAAGATCAGTTCAGAAGGGGAAATAAAATCCAGTACTATTCTATCCCTGCCCCCTCCTTGGCTGGCATTCATTAGTGAGATGAGATGGCTTCACCCCCAGCTCCCTCCCTTCTCCATTAGCCAGGCAAGTGTGAATCATTCTGACCCAGACCAGGTGCACAAGGGCCTGGGCGGGACTTCTGACAAGCCAGCCAATCTGGGCAGAATTCTCATCCCTTAGGTTCTCCATCTCCAAAGCCATTGCCTCTCTGGCCTGCCTCTTGCTGGACTGCCTACCCTAAAGTCGAAAAGAGTTTGGCCTCTCTGGAGGACTCTTGTTTGACACAGTTCTCCTCTTTCCTAGTGGTCACCAAGGGTGGCAAGAAAAGGAAGAAAGCCCTGAGTTGGGGGGGACCAGGATGCCTGACCGGGACAGCTATGCCAACGGCACTGGGAGCAGCAGTGGAGGTCCTGGAAGTGGTGGCAGCGAGGAGGCCAGTGGGACAGGGACAGGCAATGGAGGGGCCAGCTCAGATGCCATCTGTAGAGACTTCCTGAGGAATGTGTGCAAGCGAGGCAAGCGTTGCCGATATCGCCATCCAGACATCAGTGAGGTGTCCAACTTGGGGGTAAGCAAAAATGAGTTCATCTTCTGCCATGACTTCCAGAACAAGGAGTGTAGTCGCCCAAACTGCCGATTCATCCATGGCTCCAAGGAAGATGAGGATGGCTATAAAAAGACAGGAGAGCTTCCCCCTCGGCTGAGGCAGAAAGTTGCAGCAGGCCTGGGCCTTTCTCCAGCTGACCTACCAAATGGCAAGGAAGAGGTCCCTATCTGCCGAGACTTTCTCAAAGGTGACTGCCAGAGAGGAGCCAAGTGCAAGTTCCGTCACCTACAACGGGATTTTGAATTTGATACTCGAGGTGGAGGAGGCACTGCTGGTGGGGGCTCAACTGGCCCAGTCCCCCCAGGACGACGTCATGATCTCTATGATATCTATGACCTCCCTGACAGGGGTTTTGAGGACCATGAACCAGTTCCCAAGCGCCGGCGAGGTGGATGCTGTGCCCCAGATGGCCTCCATTTTGAATCCTATGACTATAGCCTGGCTCCACCCCGAGGGGTGGAGTGCAGACTGCTAGAGGAGGAGAATGCCATGCTCAGGAAGCGGATAGAGGAGCTTAAGAAGCAGGTCAACAACCTTATGGCTACCAATGAGGTACTTCTGGAACAGAATGCCCAGTTCCGCAATCAGGCCAAGGTCATGACCCTGAGCTCCACTGCACCAGCAACTGAGCAGACCCTAGCCCCCACTGTGGGTACTGTTGCCACTTTTAATCATGGCATTGCCCAGACTCACACTACTCTCAGCAGCCAGGCTCTACAGCCTCGGCCTGTGTCTCAGCAAGAATTGGTGGCCCCTGCCGGAGCTCCAGCTGCTCCCCCAACTAATGCTGCACCTCCTGCTGCTCCACCACCCCCACCCCCACACTTGAACCCAGAGATCACGCCACTGTCAGCTGCTCTGGCTCAAACAATTGCCCAGGGAATGGCACCCCCACCTGTTTCCATGGCTCCTGTGGCTGTATCTGTGGCCCCTGTGGCCCCTGTGGCTGTATCGATGGCCCAACCCTTGGCAGGAATCACAATGAGCCACACCACCACTCCCATGGTGACTTACCCCATCGCTTCCCAGAGCATGCGTATCACAGCCATGCCACACTGATGGGGCTAATGGACACTCCACTGGTATAGCCTCCCGGGGCTGGGATCCGGGGGGGTGGGGAGGGCGCTTTATCCACCCACTTGCTTAGCCCTCCCAGGCCCTGTCTTAAGGGCTCATTCAAGAACTAGGACAAGAGACTACAAGGAGTTTACTTCTGAGAAGGGGTTGGGCTGGTGAGGTTTCTTTCACCTTCCTTTTATGAGGGTCTTCTTGTCCATCTTCAAGTCTCACAGAGGGGGCTTGAATAGGAGTGCAGACTGAAGCCAGCAGAGAGGAAGGACTGACTGAGGGGCTGCAAGTCCCCTGATGGGAAGATGGGGACATGCCTGGTCTTGTCCTCTCTTCTGCACAACACAGGTTCCAGCACTGGCTTTGGAAGAAAAAAGTACCCTGCCCAGAGGGAAAGCCAGGAAAGATTGGGAAGTGGGTGGCCAGGAGGGAAGGCCTGATAGGAGCCTTCAGACAATTTGGGACATAGTCAAGTTGGACAATAACTGGTCCTGGGCCTGTGGGAAGGCGGGGACCATAGTAATCCAGCCCAAAGACTAGGGGAGCATTCATTACCTTGGCTTGGCCTGGAAGTTCATAGGGCAGGGCCCATCACTTTCCAAAGAAATAAAAAGCAATTATTTTTAACAAATGAAGGCAGTGAAAACTTGCTTAGATATCCTGTGTGGAAGATGGGAGCAGTAAATAGATGTCATGCCAAAATGGGGTAAAGACCCCACCCTCAGAGCTGGGATAAGGTTGGATAGAGACCAGTGAAGAAGGGTAGGGACCCAGAAGAAAACCAAATGAGACTTTGGGGAAGGCACTTTGTGGGGTAAAAGCATTGGAGCCACCTAGTCCAGTTTAAAAATAGTCACATCTGTTCTGGTTTCTATCTGCATGTACTATTCCCAGGTTGCCTTAGTAACCAGGGCTCCT